CAAGTATATATGGCCCGTAGGCGGGGCCAGGCCCTCAGTTCTCTTGATCTGCCTAGCAAGCAGCTAGAGAACCTTCTTCTCGTGAGTTCACTTCAAACTGTTTTTTTCTGGACTGCTCGTATTTACTACCTGTTTCTGAGCAATGTTCCATATTTTCTGTCTTGATTCTGGTGTTTTTTAGACCGCTCTGACAACCATCATGTCAGACTACACGAGAGAAGCCATCGAAATCCACAAGCACATGAACAATTTCTTTTTCTTTTTTATAGTAATCTTTATTAAAGATTTTTTAAAAATATATATAAAGTTTCAAAAAAAGAAAAAAATATGCATATATAAAAATAGTCATAAAGAAAGAGAGAGAGAGAAAAAGAAGAAAAAGAAAAGAAAAAAAAGAAAAGAAAAAAAGGAAGAAAGAAGTGAAAATACAGCATAGCAGATAAGTGGTTAAAAATTATAGCAGGGTGGTGTGTATCTCCTTTGTTGACTTCCTGAGTATCTTCCAAGTGGTTTTTCCTCTTCTTTCTTTTGTCTTAGCTTTTCTTCCCTCTTGTTTTCTCTTCCTTTTATATTATTATATTTCCATTTTTTCTGTTTCAGATAATTTGTCACTTTTGTCCAGTCAGTTTCTTTTATCGGGGTCCCTTTATTTTTTTTTGATATTAGGTATGTTAACCTATCCATATTTTTAATATCTACAATTTTTCTACCCAACCACTAATTTCTGGGATCTCTTTTTTTCCATAATTTTGCATAGCAAATTCTTGCTGCGGTATTCAATAAAAAAGGAGTTTATCTGTATTTTTTTCCCTAATTTTTGGTCTAAAAAAACAATCAAAGGAAGCTAGTCTGAGTGAAGGTTCTCGTGCTGCTGCTTCGGCGGCGGATGAAGAGAACTGGCTACTTATATATACTCAGAGGGGAGAGTGGGCGGGGCCTACAGCCAAAAATGTTTAATAGAATTTCTAGAAGGTTCTGAAAGCTGTTGTGCGCAGGTGCAGGAATTACCATATGTGCAAATTCACTCAGGGAACTACGGTTACAGGTAAGCAACCTATAATTATCCCGAGTAGAAATATCTCGGGTTTGAATGGGATTCTTATATTTAACATTTCCTGCAATATTTTGTGAATTTTTCTCCAATATATTTTAGACTTTATACACGACCACCACATGTGGAAATATGATCCCCCTATCTTTCCACATTTTCAACATTTTGTGTTTATATTTTTGTAAGATTTCCCAAGTTTTTGGGAGGTCATGTAACACCTATGTGCTACTTTAATCCAATTTTCTTTTAAGTCTGTTGCGTATGTGTATTTAATCTTTGTTTACCTTTTTTTATCCCAATCCTCTTTTTAAATTGTTTTTCCAATATTTTCTTTCCATCTTTTCATATATTTTTTCTCCCTTCGGTTCTGTGTTCCATTCCAATAGTTTCCTATATATCTTTGCTATTACTTTTCGTTCTGACTTCAGTATAGTGTCCCAGAAGATATCTTGTTCTTGAAAGCCTATTTCTTTGTCTTTCTTAAAACATTCCTTTATTTAGGTTCTTTAGGTTTTTTCGGGCTACAGGGCCATGTTCTAGAGGCATTTTTCCTGACGTTTCACCTGCATCTACCTCTGAGGATGCTTGCCATAGATGCAGGTGAAACGTCAGGAGAAATGCCTCTAGAACATGGCCCTGTAGCCCGAAAAAACCTACAAGAACCTAGTGATTCCAGCCATTAAAGCCTTCGACAATTCCTTTATTTGTCTGTATTGATACCACAATATTTTTTTATTTATCATATTCATTTCCTGCACGTGAACAATTTCAACAGAAATTAAAAAGAAAAAAAATCTGGCTACTAGTATTAAACACCAAAATCAAAACAGTAAATAAGGAACACCGCTCAGAAACGGGGAAAACTCCAGACAGTAAACAATCAAGAGCCCAAACTGAGGGTGCCTCCAGGCAACAGAGGCCAAGCTACCTCTATGTAGAGACCCTCACTGATTGACTTTGCAGCTGCAAGGCTACTCATTGCTACTCAAGCTTGATAAATGCAATATCCACACTTGCTTTAAACAGGCAAGGGTTCTTTCTCCCACCCTGGACATTATTCCACAGATACATATACACTCCACTTTGCTTCACTGCCCACAGAACGTTTGAAGATGCCATTAGCCACAGAAGCAGGCCAAACGTCAGGAGAGAGTGATGCTGGAACATGGCCATACAGCCCAAAAAACCCAGAGCAACCCAAAGCTGCTTTCTGTTTCTTATGATTCCCTTCAAGACAGAAGAGAATCGGTCTGGTTGAAACCTTTGATCTCAACACTATTGTCACAAGTTGCGCTTCTATTATACAACTATAATAGTAGCGCGGGCGAACGCTTTGGTTTGTTAACCAAATGAGCCTGAAAGGACTTGCCTAAAATCAAACTGCTTGGAAAGCTGTCCATGGAAACAAGTTTATTCAAATCGAGGCGCATCAAACAAAACATGGAAATGGGCCCGTGTTTTGAAAGGAGAGATTTGTTTGCTTTTAACTGCCGTCAGGGCCGGGCCTTTTTCCAGGCTCAAAAGCGGCAAAAGTGAGGAAGCGCAAGAGGGAGGAGGTGTTGCATCGCCCTTGTAATACTTGAAAGTTGCAGAACTTTGAAAAATACATTTCTTAGTCCCAGAATGGTCCGGGGCTTTGGGGTGCCTGGAAGTTTGAGTTCAGGGATGTAACTTCACCAAACTTTACTAAGTACAGCCACTTGGACAGGGAGAAGGAGAACAAATAAATTATTGTTTATTTCTTTATTTACTATATTCTCAGCCCTGGGGTGACTCAGAGCGGTTAACAATAGCAAAATTCAATGCTCAAAAACATCATAAAACAGTTAAAAACAATTAAAAACAGTAGCATAATAAACAGTCAATATAAATCAATCAAGCATCTCATTAGCGTCTCATAGTTAAAATCAAGATCCAGTCTCATCATCCATTTATTCCATGTTCCTATGTTCGTTACACTGCCTATTCAAATGCCTGCTCAAACAACCACGTTTTCACTTTCTTCCGAAATGTCAACAGGGAGGGGGCCGATCTAATATCTGTAGGAAGGGCGTTCCACAGCCGAGGGGCCACCACTGAAAAGGCCCTGTCTCTCATCCCTGCCAAACGTACTTGTGAAGCAGGCAGGACCAAGAGCAGGGCCTCCCCAGATGGTCTTAACACCCTAGCTGGTTCATAGGAGGAGATGCATTCGGACAAGTAAGTTGGGTTGTTGTTATTATTTGATACACAACAAGAGTAGTAAACAACAAACAAGATCACAGTGCTGGCTTTTGTATTGGATCACATGTCGGACACTTTCCAAGTGTCTAGAACTGTGTAATGTTTCAGTGAATAATGCGTGCAGATCTGAGTTGGGTGGTTTTTTGCAGCTGACAGTAATTTTGTCAATGCTGATTGTGTTTAAGTGCAGGCCAAGGTCTTTAGGCACTGCACCCAGTGTGCCGATCACCACTGGGACCCCCTTGACTGGCTTGTGCCAGAGTCTTTGCAGTTCAATCGATAAATCCTCATATTGTGTCAGCTTTTCCAGTTGTTTCTCTGCAATCCTGCTGTCACCTGGGATTGCAACATCGACAATCCATACTTTGTTTTTTAACATGATCATGAGGTCAGACGTCTTGTGCTCCAAAACTCTCTGTGTCTGAATTTGGAAGACCTAGAGGAGTTTGACGTGTTGTAACTTTTTCCGGCTTGTGGTCCCACCAGTTCTTTGTCGCAGGCAGATGGTCTTTGTGGCACAAGTTCCAATGAATCATCTGAGCAACGGTGTTGTGCCTCTGCTTGTAGTCTGTCTGCGCGATCTTGCAGCTGAGGATGGGATCTATCCTTTCATCTGTTTCCTTGAAGAGTCTACATTTGGGATCTGTTGTCAACTTTTCAATTTTGGCTTTGATGGCCTTGGTTCTAATGGCTTGTTCTTGGGCTGCCAAAATCAGAATTATTATTATTATTATTATTATTATTATTATTATTGAGTATTATTATTATTATTTGTATTATTTATATTATTACATGTATTATATTGATTGATATTTATTAGTTTAGTCCCGTTATCCCATGCCGTCTTGAGAAACAACACCGTAAATCCAATTTCACTTTTGATTTGGGTGGCCCACTTGCATTCCATTTATCCCTATACATAACAATGGAAGTTATATATAGTTAAGAGGGAGAACATGTACAAACAAGCACCGGTGAGCCAAAATAAGACCTTTTTTGTGTGCGTCTTCTGCACAACTGAGCTTTAAAGCAATTTATAATGATGATGATGATGATGATGATAATACACAACACAGCTAAGACAACACCGTCAAATAGCAGGGGAATATCGGGTTGTGATAATAATACAAAAGATGGGTCAATTGAGATGATAAAAACGCAGCTGGAGATCGGGATGGCGGAAAGAACCAGGCTTTTATTATAGCCAAACTGGGACAGTTTGAGATTTGTTGCATCCCAATTGTTAAAAGGATCTAACCGTCCTCCCATCTCGTCTTCGTGGTCAAGTGCCAGATTTGCATGTTGCGGACGGAGAGCTCCGGTGGCCTTTGCAGTTAGGAACACCGAATATGCAAAAACCTATTGGGTGTTCAGAACATCTGAGTCCCCTTCCGCCTACATCCATTCAAATTGCCAGGATGTCCCAGGTTGCTCTTTCAAACAGAGCCCGTTTAAAACCCAGAGAATCAATTCTGTTCATTCCCCAGATTTCGGATTTCGCTTCGGACCAGTCCAGAAAAGTTGGGTGTGACTTCTGGGTCCTCTCTTCCTATCTTTTCTGGAACAGGTCTGAGGGTTATTTCACTAAGAATTATCCTCTAAAACATTCTCAAACCAACCCAAGTGTGTAGGAAAAGATGGGCAGGATTAATTGCTGAACAGGGCTGTGCTAAAGCTGACTTAAGCTCCAAGGCACCCACCCCACAGCCAAGCGTGAACCCCAGCCATGCCCAGGTCCTTCCTGGTGAAGAGGCACCACTCAAGGACACGGCCAGGAGCCCGGAATTGGGGAGAGATCTCAGACCAGCTCCGGGGAGATGCCTACATCCCAGGTAGGTCTATGGCTGGAGGGATAGATGGATGGATAGGTAGACAGATGACAGATATATTGATTGATTCATTGATTCATTGATTGACGGGTGGGTGGATGACAGGTCAGATAGATAGTTGGGTATATAGGCATGGTAGATAGATAGATAGATAGATAGATAGATAGATAGATAGATAGATAGATAGATAGATAGATAGATAGATAGATAGATAGATAGATAGATGCTATGGGTGGATGGCAGAATGGATAGGTAGGTAGGTAGGTAGGTAGGAAAGTAGGTAGGTAGTAGGTAGGTAGATTATGTGTGTATGTGTGTGTGTATAGGTCTATGGGTGAGGGGATGGATAGATAGATGGGTGGATAGATAGATGATAGATATATTGATTGATGGGTGGGTGGTTAGATGGCAGAATAGATAGGTAGGTAGGTAGATAGATAGGAAAGTAGGTAGGTAGTAGGTAGGTAGATGATGTTTGTATGTATGTATTTGTGCGTGTGTATAGGTCTATGGGTGAGGGGATGGATGGGTGGATAGATAGACAGATTATATATATATATATATATATATTGATTATATATATATATATAGATTGATGGGTGGATGGCAGGATAAGTAGGTAGGTAGGTAGGTAGACATGATATATTGATTGATTAATAAGTGGATGGCAGGATGGATAGACAGATAGATAGGAAAGTAGGTAGGTAAGTAGGTAGGTGTGTGTATGTATTTGTGTGTGTGTATCTCAATGGACAGATTGATGAGAGGATGGTGGGATAGATAGCTAGATAGATGGGTAGATAGACATCGTATAAATATTGATTGATTGATGTGTGGATGGCAAGATGGAGATAGATAGATAGATAGATAGATAGATAGATAGATAGATAGATAGATAGATAGGCAGATGGATAGATGAATGGATGGATAGAAAGATAGCTAGATAGGTGGGTAGGCATATGGATGGAAAGATAAGTAAATAGATGATGAATAGATAGATGATAGATAGATAGATAGATAGATAGATAGATAGATAGATAGTTGATGTATGGATGGATGGATGGATGGATGGATGGATGGACGGACAGACAGACACACAAATGTGATATATACAGTACATTGATTGAATGATAGATTGAAAGACAGATAGATAAATGGATGAATGGATAGACAGACAGAAAGACAGGAAGTCTGTAGATGATGATGATGATTTGTGTGTGTGCATCGACTGATTGATGGGTGCATGGTGGGATAAATAGATAGATGGGTAGATAGATATGATAGACATGATAGACTGATTGATTGATGAGTGGATGGCAGGATGGCAGATGGATAGACAGATATAGATTAGGTTGATAGGTGGAAGAGTGGATGGATAGATAGGTGACCAATAAATGATGTATAGATAGATTCATGGATGGATGGATGAGTGGGTGGATAGATAGATAGATAGATAGATAGATAGATAGATAGATAGATAGATAGATAGATAGATGAGTAGATGGGCGGACAGATAGATATTTAATAAGGATTATCCAGCTTTTAATTTATCAGTAGGACTGGAATAATCAGCCAAACAGAAGACCTGTATTTCCTGGAATTTCCATCAGAGTTTGCTTTGAGTAGTTGCCCTTTTCTTCATCCCGTGCCACAGAAATAGATCGGAAAGCCTGGGACATGGTTCCTTTCGGATAGACTTTGTTCCCTTTGCCTATGTTCATGTCCGCACATATTTGAAATCAGGAAGATATAAAGATATTTGGTCCAGCCAAGGAACCCTGCTCGTTGGGACAGTCTCTCCACAATAAATGACAAATGGGATGATTGTGGCAGCATCTTTCCCTTTCAGGAGGCAGTGCAACCCATATCTTCGCGGATCCCAGGACGTTCAGAGGTCAAGCCAACATGAACACGAGGGAAAACAACAAAGGAAGAGACCTTCCTAGTCACATCCAAAGTCAGGTTCATTTTCAGCCAACGGTCGTAGGGAAATGCCTTCCGAGTCGAAAGGTTAGTAAAAAAGGTGTGCAAGTTGTGCGGGGCAAACTAGGGCCCTCCAGGTGTTTCGGACTTCAACTCCCACAATTCCTAACAGCGAATTGTGGGAGCTGAAGTCCAAAACACCTGGAGGGCCCAAGTTTGCCTGTGCCTGGGTTAGAACAAGATTTATGAGGGTTGAATGAAAAGTAACACCTCCACCTTCGTAACTCCTCAACAGATGGCAGTACTGATATGCGGCAGGTACTGGCTTGTTCAGTAGACTCTCCTCTACAGCTCCATTTTGGTGGTAAGCCTTAGCATTGAATGGTTGTGTTCCTAAAGTGCAAAGTATGGAACCCTGCGCAGACAGTAAGCAACGTGCAGTCATTGAATTCTTGACAGCAGAAGGTGTCACCTCAACATCTTTGAACTTACTCGCCCAACAACGCACAGTACTCACATTAACACAATCACCATAAACAGCTTGCATTCTCTGATGAATCCCCTTTGGAGTGACAACTTCTTCTGTCAAGAATTCAATGACTGCATGGTGCTTAAGTCGCATTGACCGACCATCTGCGCAGGGTTCCATACTTTGCACTTTAACAACACAACCGTTCAATGCTAAGGCTTCCCACCAAAATGGAACTGTAGAGGAGAGTCTACTGAACAAGCCAGTACCTGCCGCATACCAGTACTGCCATCTGTTGAGGAGTTACGAAGGTGGAGGCATTACTTTTCACTTTAACAACACAACCGTTCAATGCTAAGGCTTCCTGCCAAAATGGAACTGTAGAGGAGAGTCTACTGAACAAGCCAGTACCTGACGCATACAAGTACTGCTATCTTTTGAGGAGTTACGAAGGGGGAGGCATTACTTTTCACTTTAACAACACAACCGTTCAATGCTAAGGCTTCCAGCCAAAATGGAACTGTAGAGGAGAGTCTACTGAACAAGCCAGTTCCTGCCGCATACCAGTACTGCCATCCGTTGAGGAGTTACGAAGGTGGAGGCATTACTTTTCACTTTAACAACACAACCGTTCAATGCTAAGGCTTCCCACCAAAATGGAACTGTAGAGGAAAGTCTACTGAACAAGCCAGTACTTTTTATTCAACCCTCCACCCTCTGCTTCCTCCTCCAGGGCCGTATAGCTGCGGCGCAGGCAGAATTCCCATGTGCCGTGTGCAGCAAGCGTTTCCCGCTGCAGCGCATGCTGAACCGGCACCTCAAGTGCCACAGCTCCGTCAAGAAGCACGTCTGCAGGTTCTGCGGGAAGGGCTTCAACGACACCTTCGACCTCAAAAGGCACCTGAGGACACACACAGGTGGGTCTCCTAGAAATGTAGGATTGGAGGGGACCCCCAAAGGCCATCTAGTCCAAACCCCTTCCATTTCTGAGTTTGGTACAGTGCATTGCAGAAGTCGAACCTAGAGTTGGAAGGGACTCCCAAAGGTCATCCAGTCCCACCCTCTTCTGCCAGGCAGGAAGGCACAATCCAATCCCTCCCGACAGATGACCATCCAGCCACTGCTGAATAATAGAATCTTAGAATTAGAAGATACCCCAAGGGCCATCCAGTCCAACCCCATGATGTAATTAAGGCACCATCAAAGCCTTCCTGACAGATGGCCATCCAGCCACTGCTGAATAATAGAATCATAGAATTAGAAGATACCCCAAGGGCCATCCAGTCCAACCCCAGTTAGGACATTAATTGTGAAATTGGCAAATAGATGATAGAAACAAATGTGTTCCATTCAGTGGAACAGGGGCACACACAACAAAAAAAAAAGAAAGAAAGACACCTCACAACAAACAACAACAAAAAAAAAACTACCAAAGCCAACGAACCAATCCAAAGCAAATAAAAAACACCACACCAATCCAAAAACGAACAAACCAAACACACACAAAGAAACAAACAAAAAATACAGAACAACAACAAAAAACATATAATCACGTGTGCTCTTCCGATCTATAGAATAGAACCCCAACAGGGCCATCCAGTCCAACCCCATGATGTAATTAAGGCACCTTTCAAAGCCTTCCTGACAGATGGCCATCCAACCACTGCTGAATAATAGAATCTTAGAATTAGAAGAATTAGAAGGGCCAAGCAGTCCAACACATGGTGTAATTAAGGCACCATCAAAGCCTTCTTGACAGATGGCCATCCAACCACTTACAAATAATAGAATTAGAAGATACCCCAAGGGCCATCCAGTCCAACACATGACGCAATTAAGGCACCATCAAAGCCTTCCTGACAGATGGCCTTCCAACCACTGCCAAATAATAGAATTAGAAGAAACCCCAAGGGCCATCCAGTCCAACCCCAGGCTGCAATAGAGTAAGACACAATCCGATCCCTCCTGACAGATGGCCAGCCTCATGGACATTAGTGGGTTCATGGAAAAATATGACTCTGAGACTCAAAGACTCATAGAGTTGGAAGGGACCGCCAGGGGCCACCCAGTCCAACCCCCTTTTCCCAAGAAGACGCAATCCGATCTCTCTCAATAGGTGGCCATTCAACCACTGCTAAATCATTAGGAAGATACCCCAAGGGCCATCTAGTCCAACCCCATGATGCTATTAAGACACCATCAAAGCCTTCCTGACAGATTGCCATCCAACCACTGATGGATGTAATTAAGGCACCATCAAAGCCTTCCTGACAGATGGCCACCCAGCCACTGCTGAATAGTAGAATCTTAAAATTAGAAGATACCCCAAGGGCCATCTAGTCCAACCCCATGATGCTATTAAGACACCAAAAGCCTTCCTGACAGATTGCCATCCAACCACTGATGGATGTAATTAAGGCACCATCAAAGCCTTCCTGACAGATGGCCACCCAGCCACTGCTGAATAACAGAATCTTAAAATTAGAAGATACCCCAAGGGCCATCTAGTCCAACCCCATGACGCAATTAAGGCACCATCAAAGCCTTCCTGACAGATGGCCAGTCCAACCCCAGGCTGCAATGGAGGAAGACACAATCCGATCCCTCCTGTCTGATGGCCATCCAGCCTCATGGACATTAGTGGGACATATGACTCCGAGAATCAAAGGGCCATCCAGTCCAACCTCCTTTTCCCAGGAAGACACAATCTGATCTCCCCCAATAGATGGCCATTCAACCACTGCTAAATCATTGTATATTAGAAGATACTACAAAGGTCATTCAGTCCAACCCTATGATGCAGTTAAGACACCATCAAAGCCCTCCTGACAGATGGCCACCCAGCCTCTGTTTAAAGTCTGAGACCCCAAAGGCCATCCGGTCCAACCATCATCTTCCAGGTGGGACGACACCATCGAATGGCTCCCGACAGATGGCCACCCAACCCGTAACAAACCTGTTTTCTCCTTTCTCAGGCGTGAGGCCCTACCGTTGCTGCGCCTGCGAGAAGGCTTTCACCCAGCGCTGCTCCCTGGAGTCCCACCTCAGGAAGATCCACGGAGTCCAGCAGCACTACGCCTACCGCGAGCGCCGCTCCAAGCTCTTTGTGTGCGAGGAGTGCGGCTTCACCTGCAGCCAGAGCGAGGAGTACTGCGGGCACCTCCACCGGCTCCACCCGGGGGGCTTCCCCAGACCCCCGGCCCCCGGCCTTCGCTTACTCTACCCTCCATCCTACTGATGCGGGGGGTTCTGGGTGTTGCAGTCCCCCAAAAAGGAGCCCGTTTGGGAGTGACACAGAATTGGAAGAGTGGGAAGAGACCAACAGGGTCATCCAGTCCCATTGCTTCTGCCAGACAGGAAAAGCACAATCAAAGCCCTCCTGACAGATGGCCATCCGGTCTCTGCCTAATAAAAATAATAACAATAAAAATAGAATCATAGAGTGGTAAGGGACTATATGGGCCATCCAATCCAACCACCTTGTGCCAAAAGCACAATCAAAGTACCCCCTACAGATGGCCATCCAGTCTCTGCTTAGAAGTAGCAGTATTGGTAGTAGTAGTAATTATAACAACAACAGAATCATAGATGTGGAAAGGACCACATGGGCCATGCAGGAAAAGCATGATCAAAGCCCTCCCAACTAGTGACCATTCAGTCTCTGTCTAGTAGTAATAATATAACAATAATAATAATGATAATAATATAGAATCAGTGGGTTAAACCGCTGAGCTGCTGAGCTTGTTGACCAAAAGGTTACAGGTATGAATTCAAGGAGCGGCGTGAGCTTCTGCTGTCAGCCTCAGCTTCTGCCAACCTAGCAGTTCAAAAACATGCAAATGTGAGTAAATCAATAGGTACCACCAGCGGGAAGGTAAGGGCGCTCCATGCAGACATGCCAGCCACATGACCTTGGAGGTGTCTACGGACAATGCCGGCTCTTCGGCTTAGAAATGGAGATGAGCACCAACCCCCAGAGTCAGACACGACTGGACTTAATGTCAGGGAACAACTTTTACCTTTTAGAATCAAAAGAGTTGGAAGAGACCACATGAACCGCCTAATGTAATGAAGGAAAAGCACAATCAAAGCACCCCCGACAGACAGCCATCCAGCCCTCCTCTGGATCCCTTCCAACTTAGAGTCAATATCAAACCAAGCTTTGAAATAGAAAATAAAGTATTTTTATTCTTAGGGTAAAACAACAAAGTAGGCAGTAAGTCCGAGAAAGAGGAGTAAGGAGAGAAAAGGGAGTAGATAAAAGGATCGTTCTGCTTCCAAGACAGGAATGTTTTACTCCGTCCAACGGTGACCGCAGTGCGGAGCAGTGCAGACGTAATACAGCCGCATGGCATCCTGGAAACCATAAAAAAATGTGTATAATAATAATAAATTATGCCACTTGTTCTGTCTCTTGGCTCTTCTCCCTTGCATCTGACCGTGCTGACGAGTAAATGTTATTGCAATGAATGAAATGTAAATAAAGATTAGAGCCGCTACTGAAGTAGAAACAACTGTGTCTGAAGTCAGTTAACTGGAAGATAAGAAGCAAATTGGCCAGCAAATTGCATTAATAAAACAAAACAGGCAATCAAACAGGCATGGGCAAATTTGAGCCCTCCAGGTGTCCTACCGGCTGTTAGGAATTGTGGGAGTTGCAGTCCAAAACACCTGGAGGGCCCAAGTTTGCCCATGCCTATCCTGCAAAGCCTGGAACCAGAGAGATTCTGCAAGGTTTGGACTACAGCTCCCATCATCCCCAGTCAGCACAGCCTAAGGCTGGAGTGTAGAGAGTATGGACAATGGGATGAATGCTAAACCAGTCCTCAAAGTAATAGGGATTAAACCACTGTATCTGTTTTAGCTAGGCAAATAGCTTCTAATTGGTTTTAGCTGTTTTGTTTAACAGCGTCAACTTTTGATTCTATTTAAAGGTCTATGGGTGGAAAGATGGGTAAACAGACAGACAGACATAGATGGGTGAATGGATGGACAGATGGAAGGACAGATGGACAGACAGAAAAATAGATAGACTGGTGGGTGGATAGATAAAGATTAATTGTTGGTGTATGTATGGATAGATGGATAATATAGATAATCTATAGATAGGTGGATGGATGGATGGATAGATAGATAGATAGATAGATAGATAGATAGATAGATAGACAGACAGACAGACAGACAGACAGACAGACAGACAGATGTGTGGGTGGATAGATAGGTGGATGGATAGAAGGGCGAATGGATAAGTAGTATATAGTTCAGATAGATTGATGGTATACAGATAGAATGATAAATATGGCTGTATGAATAGATAGATAATATATGGATGGATGGATGGATGGATGGATAGATGGATGGATAGATGGATAGATAGATGGATAGATAGATGGATAGATAGATAGATAGATGGATAGATGGATGGATAGATAGATAGATAGATAGATAGATAGATAGATAGATAGATAGATAGATAGATAGATAGATGTGTGGGCAGATAGATGGGCGGATGGATGGGTGGATGGATAGATTAGATAGATGGATGGAAGGATGGATAGATAGATGTGTGGGCGGATAGATAGATAGATGGATGGACGGACGGACGGACGGACAGACAGACAGACAAATAGATGTGTGGATGGATAGATGGGTGGATGGACAGATGGATGGAATTATGGATGGATGGACAGATGGGTGGATGGAATGATGGATGGATGGATGGATAGATGGGTGGATGGACAGATGGATGGGTGGATGGAATGATGGATGGATAGATGGGTGGATGGATGGATAGATAGACAGACAGATGTGTGGATGGATAGATGGGTGGGTGGATGGATGGACAGACAGATAGATAGATGGATGGATGTGTGGGTGGATGGATAGATGGAAAGATAGAAGGGTGAATGGATAAGTAGTATATAGTTCAAAAGATAGATTGATGGTGTACAGATAGATTTATAAGTATGGCTGTATGAATGGATAGATAGATAATGGATGGAGGGAGGGAGGGGGAGAGAGAGAGAGATGTGTGGGTGGATAGATGGGTGGACTGGCCATTCCCTTTTGATGGTTGTATATTTTTGAATTGGTTGAGACTTGATGAGACATTCATTGAAAAACTAGAGCAAAACGTGCTGCGGGATGATGTCCCTCCCGCAAAAACAAAGTTTATGCGGTTTAATAAACTTTCCCCATGTTTTTATGATAGAACCAATTAGGAAAGGACAGGTATAACTCAGGAATAAAAATCTTCTTACATAGTGTTATTCCTATGGATCATATTGAATAGAATGCCACTGGATGAGCTATTCTCATAACCTTTCGGCTGGACATCAGCCATCACAAGAAACTCATCTCACCTCAGCCCTTGCACTGTGCGACTGGAAAAACACCGCTTCCTTGTGGCCGCATCTGGAAAGAAGGAGAGGAAAGGCAGTCTGGTTAAAACAAGCGAACCAGAAAATGCTTTGCATGGACAGATTTGGAACTTTTACTTTGGAGTCTCCTTCCCTGGGGGCTTTTCAAAGAGGCTGGATGGCCATCTGTCCGGAGGGCTTTGTTTGTGTCTTCCTGCCTAGCAGAAGGAGGTTGGACTGGATCGTCTTTAGGGGCCTCTTCAAACTTTAGTGGAATATAGGCTGCCTTGGAGTCTGCTGAATTCTCCTTCGCTGGAGGTCTTTAAATAGAGGTCGGATGGATATCTGTCAGGAGGGCTTCGTTTGCATCTTCCTGCCTAACAGAAGGGGGTTGGACTGGATGGTCTTTGGGGGTCCCTTCCAATACTAGTGAAATATAGGCTGCCTCAGAGTCTGCTGAATTCTCCTTCGCTGGAGGTCTTTAAAGAAAGGCTGAATGGCAATCTGTTGAGAGGGTTTTGATTGTGTCTTCCTGCCTGGCAGAAGGGGGTAGGACTGAATGGTCTTTGGGGGTCCCTTCAAACTCTATAATTCTATGGTTTACTACTGGCTGTTGTATACAAGGTCCTACAAAGCACACGTCAGATTATATCTTCTGTGTGACACGTGATTTTATTTTTGTGTGATGTGTTTAATAATATTTAATGTTTTATCACGGGAGGGTAAATTTTGATGTTTTATACTATTTTCATTGAGGGCATTGAACTGTTGTCAACACTGTGAACCGACCTGAGTCCCCTTCAGGGTTGAGAAGGGCAGTATACAAATACCGCAAATCTATATAAATAAAAATGTAATGTTCGTTTGTGGGATTAACATAAATCCTGGACAAATTGACACCAAATTTGGACACAAGACACCTATCAGGCCAACAAGTGACCCTCACTCATAAAAACACTGAAAAGCAGAGAAGAGACTTAAAAAGTCAAAAATATAAAATAATACATTGCAATGCATGCATGAAACCACAAACATACATATATACACACATAGACAAATACATACAAACATATATGAAGATATACACACAAAACACATACACAGAAAGGGGGAAGGAAGGAAGGAAGGAAGGAAGGAAGGAAGGAGGGAGAGAAAGAAGGAAAGAAGGTAGAATGGAGAGAAGGAAGGAAGGAAGGAGAGAAGTAAATAAAAAGTGAAAGAAGGAAGGAAAGAGAGAGGGAAGGAAGGAAGGAATGAAAGAGAGAGCAGAGAGAGAGGAGGAAGGGAGGGGGGAGGGGGGGGAGGAAAGAGACAAGGAAGGATGGAACCAAAGAGCAAAGGAAGCAAGAAAAAACAGGTAGAAAAAGAAGAAAGAAGAAGGAAAAGAAAAAGAGGGAAGGAAGGAGAGGGAGGGAGGGAGGAGGAGGGAAAGGAAGGGAGGGGGAGGGAGGGAAGAAGGAAGGAAGGAAAGAAGGAAGGAAGGAGAGGGGGAAAGAGGGAAAGAAGGTGGAATGGAGAGAAGGAAGGAAGAAGAGGAAGGAAAAGAAAGAAAAAAGAAAGGAAGAAGGAAGAAAGAGAGAAGGGAAAAAAAAGTGAAAAGGAAGGAAAGAGAGAGGGAAGGAAGGGAGAAGGAGAAAGAGAGAGAAGGAAGAGGAAGGAAGGAAGGAAGGAAGGAAGGAAGGAAGGAAGGAAGGAAGGAAGGAAGGAAAGAAGGAAGGAAAGAGACAAGGAAGGATGGAACCAAAGAGGAAAGGAAGCAAGGAAAGAAACAGGTAGAAAAAGAAGAAAGAAGAAGGAAAAGAAAAAGAGGGAAGGAAGGAAAGAGAGAGGGAAGAAAGGAGAGAAAGAGGGCGGGAAGATTGGCCACAGCAATGAGTGGCGGGTACAGCTAGTCTATATCAATAAAAATGTAGTGTTCATTTGTGGGATTAACATAACTCAAAAAACACTGGACAGATTGACACCAAATTTGGACACAATACACATATCAGGTCAACGAGTGACCGTCACTCATAAAAATACTGAAAAGCAGAGCAGAAGAGATTTGAAAAAACCAAAAATTACATTACAACACATGCACAATATTTATTTATTTATTTATTTATTTATTTATTTACAGCATTTATATGCCGCCCTTCTCACCCCGAAGGGGACTCAGGGCAGATTACAAGTAAAAAGTAAACACAATATATTATATTATTATCATAGCATAATATTAATATTATATATTACACTGTACTATAATGTTATACTGTAATATTAGTAATATTACATTTAATATAAAATATATAATTATAATAGCATATTATTATTAGTAGTAGTATACTGTATTACATTATAGTCTTATCAATATTATATGTATATACAATAATATAATATACAATAATATAATATAATATAATATAATATAATAAGCACAGTGCAGGAGACAAGATGGAACCACATATCTATATGCAAACACACACATATACACAAATATATACAAACACAAAACACATACACACAGACTGGGCCACAGCAATGTGTGGCAGGGGACAGCTAGTAAATAATAAATAAATATGGAAGCTTTCTTCCGTATTATTTTTCTTCCAGCTTAGTTCCTATGTTTTGTGTTTATTGTTTTATATGCTTTGATGTTTTATATTTTACTGTTATGTTGTTTATTTGATTGTAATTTGTATTGTTATATTGTAATTTTTGTTCGGGCTTGGCCTCACGTAAGCCGCTCCGAGTCCCCTTTGGGTAGATGGTGGTGGGGTACGAATAAAGATTATTATTATTATTATTATTATTATTATTATTATTATTATTATTCCCAAACTTTGAGATCTTCAATGGAGGGTTTTCTTTTAGTCTTGCCATCTTTATGTGTACATCACTGCGGTCACAAGCGGCCTTTCTCCTCTGCCATATAATCCAGATTATCAAAGCAGATAAGCAGATAATGTGCTTCGAGTCTACACTGCCATATAAGGAGCCCCCGGTGGCGCAGTGGGTTAAAGCGCCGAGCTGCTGAACTTGCTGACTGAAAGGTCGGCGGTTCGAATCCGGGGAGCGGGGTGAGCTCCCAGCATCTGCCAACCTAGCAGTTCAAAAACATGCAAATGTAAGTAGATCAATAGGCGGGAAGGTAATGGCGCTTGATGCAGTCATGCCGGCCACATGACCTTGGAGGTGTCTACGGATAATGCCGGCTCTTTGGCTTAGAAATGGAGATGAACACCAACCTCGAGAATCGGACACAACTGGACTTAAGGTCAGGGTAAAACCTTTACCTTTACTACTGCTATATAATCCAATTCAAATGTACTCACTTCTGACAGGGATGGTCTTCTGTTCGCGGCAGAGTCGGGTCTTGGGAAACGTCGGCGATGATCTGGGTTAATTCACTGAAATGAATATTTTCGCGTTTATAAAGTTTGCCCCCAACCTTTGTCTTGCTGAGTTTGTGAAGGTGAGTCCCAGGCCCTACAATGCCATATGAAATCCAGATTATATGCTTTGAACTGCATTATATGGCAGTATAGACTCAGATAATCCTGTTTAAGGCAGATAATCTGGATTATATAGCAGTGGAGGAGGGACATGATCACCATGTTTCCATATATGGAAGGATGTCCCATTTAGGAGCGTGCAAGGTTGTTTTCCACTACTCTGGATGGGTCCAGATTGCAGGAGAAGAGATTCCTTCTAAACATTAGGAAGAACATACAATCATAGAGTTGGAAGAACCTCGTGGGCCATCCAGTCCAACCTGGAAGAAGGAAGCAGGTAAAAAATTCAAAGCACCCCTGACAGATGGCCATCCAGCCTCTACTTCATGATGATTGGAGTGGTTTGATGGCAAAATATGTTTCTGCTCAGGAGTCTAGTAGAGTTTTTAAACAGAAGCTGGAGGGCCATCTGTTGGGAGGGTTTTAATTGTGGTGAAAGGACTGAACCGCCCTTGGGGACTCTTCCAATGTTAGGATTCTATAATTCAACAGGAACTTGATGGCCATCTCTCTCTATATAATGAAATGTTCGTTTGTGGGATTAGCATAACTCAAAAACGGCTAGAGGAATTGACACAAAATTTGGACATAAGACACCTAACAGTCTGATGTATGTCCTTCACTCAAAAAAATTGCTTTTGTCATTTGGGAGTTGTAGTTTCTGGGATTTATAATTGAAGAGCATTCTGAACTCCACCAACGATGGAATCGAACCAAACTTGGCACAAAGTTCTCCCATGACCAACAAAATACTGAAAGGGTTTGGTGGGCAGTGTCCTTTGGTTTTGGAGTTGTAGTTCACCTACATCCAGAGATCACTGTGGACTCAAATAATGATGGATCCGGACCAAACTCTACATGAATATTCAATATGCCCAAATGTGAACACTTTTGGAGTTTGGGGGAAATAGAATCTTGACATGTGGGAGTTGTAGTTGCTGGGATTTATAGTTCACCTACAATCACAGAGCATTCTGAACCCCTCCAACGATAGAATTGGGCCAAACCTCCCACACAGAACCCCCATGATCACCAGAGTGGGCCACAGCAAGGCGTGGCAGGGGACGGCTAGTAAATAATAAATACATAAGGGTTTGTGCATCCTTGCAGAATATAAATACACACAATAAACAAAATAAAAGTAATTGTGTCTTCCTTTATGGCAGAAGGGGTTGGACTGGATGGCCCTTGGAGTCTCTTCCAACTCTTAGATTCCAAATTATGTGAATGCAGATAAATCTACATAAATAAAAAGGTAATGTGTGTTTGTGGGATTAACATAACTCAAAAACCACTGGGGGAATTGAGACCAAATTTGGACACAATATACACATCAGGCCAATGAGTGACCACCACTCATAAAAACACTGAAAAACACAGCAGAAGGGACTTAAAAAGCCAAAAAAGCAAAAAGACGCTACAGCGCATGGGCAAAACGACTCCCCCTGGCAAACAAAACACACAATAGCATATTCACACTCTCTTCTGGACTACAGCTCCCAGCATCCCCTAGACCAGGCCTTTTAGGAGGGGAGGATGATTCAAATGCACTGCTTCCAAGCTGCAAGCTTTCTTCTCCTTGGATTTCTTTGAGAGAATCTCAATTCCTGCATATTTCCAATTTCATATTCCTGGACTGCAACTCCCAGCGATCCTCCAGATAGATTAGATTGAGATAGGTAAGTAAATAGATGGATCAAGAGGACTGCTGGGAGTTGCAGTCCAAGAATAGGTAGAGAAGGAAGAACGGCGAGAAAGAGGAAGGGAAAGAAATCTCTCCCTTTGGAGAAGGGTACTCACTCGACTTCATGGGTGATCTTATTGACGTAGATGCAGCTATTGTCCGCTTCTTGTTGGTAGTCGCAATTCCGGCACTTTGGCATATAGAAGAGGAGGGAAAGAAGAAGACGAGTAAATAAATATGATAATAATAATAATAATAAGCCATCTTCCAAAGAGCAAGCAAGCAAAACTCCCTGCAAAACAGTGCGGCATGCTACTAGCAGAGTGCCCCCCATTCAAGTTCCAGGTAACGGATCTCAAACAAGCAGAGACAGAGCTGTGCGATGTTACCTGATTTAATGTAGCTGGAAATTTGGCAAATGCCTTTTTAAAAAAACGACAGCTCCCAGAATCCGTCACAATCCTGGTTGAGATTTAGTCCAAAGAAAGGTACTTATCCAAGCTATAAATCTGTGTCTCAACTGATCTAAAATTGGGCGAAAATTATAATTATAATTGACACCCTGAAGCCTCCATATACCTGCTGGACTTCATCAGAACCAGTTAAATATAATATGGACCTTCTTCCACAGATGATCAAGATCATTACCTTCTTATTCTCATTATTATTATGTTGTTGTTGTTGATGATGTATTGACTCTCTGCAGACTCCATTCTTCTGCTGGACTTCAACAGAACCACTTCAATATAATATTGGACCTTCTTCCACAGATGATCAAGATCATTACCTTCCTATTATTATTATTATTATTATTATTATTATTATTATGTTGCTGTTGTTGTATTGACTCTCCGCAGACTCCGTTCTCCTGCTGGACTTCATCAGAACCACTTAATTATAACATTGGACCTTCTTCCACAGATGATCAAGATCATTACCATTCTATCATCATCATCATCATCATCATCATCATGTTGTTGTTGTTGTTGTTGTTATATTGACACTCCACAGACTCCATTCTCCTGCTGGACTTCATCAGAACCACTTCAATATAATATTGGACCTTCTTTCACAGATGATCAAGATCATTACCTTCCTATTATTATTATCATTATTATCATGTTGTTGTTGTTATATTGACACCCCGCAGCCTCCATTGTCCTGCTGGACCACTTAAGTATAATCTGGACCTTCTTCGGTGTCAGAGTGAAGACCCTGGGGTCTACGCGCAGCGGAGTTGAGGTTACTAGATCACACAGACACAAAACAGGACACTGCAGAGTTCCAGTTTCAGAAATAACTTCAAGTTTACTTAGTACATCTCAATACACGTCTACTTCTCAGCGGGCTACATCATGAACTACAAAGCACAGCACAAAAACAGTATTCAGAACATCTGCTTATCAGTTTCACTTTGGCTGTAAGCCGGCAACTCCCTAATTCTTCCCAGACAGAGAGAACTTGTTATCTTACTTCTGTCAAGGTCTTTTCTTCTCTGCCTCTCTGTCTCTTACAACAACAATTCCAGCATACATTTGAACATAACTGAATCCATCTCGAATACATATTTTAATCCATCTTGAATTACATATTAATCACATTGAAAAAACATACATGCATACTTTCAATAATCCTGACATTCGGAAGGTAAACATCTACTTYCTCTCTTCAACAGGTGACTTAAGATCACCTTCCTAYATTGATTACTATTGTTGTTGTTATTGATATGATAGAACCGATTTGGAAATGACATATAATGGTTCAAATCAGGCCTGGGCCAACTTGGGCCCTCCAGGTGTTTGGACTACAACTCCCACAATTCCTAACAGTCGGTAGGCTGTTAGGAATTGTGGGAGTTGTGGTCCAAAACACCTGGAGGGCCCAAGTTGGCCCAGGCCTGATCTGTAGGATTTTGCACTCACCGCATAGAGAAGGATCCGGTTCTCTTTGTCTTCCTTGGGGTATAACATGTTGTTGCTGTTCAAAAAAAAAAGAAAAGAAACCAGGAAAAAATGAGAAAAAATGAGTTTGCATAGGGTTGCATCTACACTGTAGAGTTAACCCGGTTTGAACCCGCTTTAAGTGATACAGCTCAGTGCAATAAGAACCTGAGGTTTGGGGCTTCACAAAGTCTTCCAATATGGACTGCAAACCCCATCATCCCACTGCCCTGAGCCCTGGCAACTAAAGCGGTATCAAACTGCGTTAAATTTCCAGTGTAGACGCCCAAATCAGGATCTTTTCCCAAACTATGGGGATCTCTAACTCCAAAACAGTTGGGGATGATGGGACTCCAGCTCCCATCATCCCCAAGCAGTCTCACCATTCCTGGCAGAAGCGAATCCCTACAAAGCCTGGCTCATAAGTCCCTTCTGTCTCCATGCTGGCTGTTGAACTGAAATGCGCAGGCGCAGAACGAAAAGGGCTCCCTTCCGGGCTTGGGTTTGACTTCACAATTGACAATGCGCAGGCGCAAAGAGTTGTGGTTCGAATCCAGGCACGGAAGCCGCCAAGGGCCAATATACCTCTGAGTGACGTCAGCTCACAGGACTACAATGCTGGCTTCTGCTTTGCTGCATTCATTGATTATGGTTTTTCTTTCTTATGGGAAAATGGAGTTTTTTTGTATTGCAGCTCCCATTATCCCCAAACAGCATGTTTTACCCAGTTGTAGTTCCATGTGTTATGCTATTTTCCTATTAATCCTATTAATATTAATATGCTCATATGAATAAATCTTATATTATATACATATATTATATTATATACATCTTATATAATATACAATATATATTATATTATATACATATTATATACATTAATATATTATATATATCTTATGTACATCTTATAAACATCTTATATAATATACATTATATATTATATACATCTTATATACATTAATATATATTATATACATATTAAAACATCTTATATACATCTTATGTACATCTTATGTACATCTTATATAATATACATTATATATTATATACATCTTAAGTACATTAATATATATTATATACATATTAAAACATCTTATATACATCTTATGTACATCTTATATACATTAATATATACACATCTTATATAACATACATTATATATTATATTACATACATCTTATATACATCTTATGTACATCTTATATACATCTTAGATAATATACATTATATATTATATACATCTTGTATACATTAATATATACACATCTTATATAATATACATTATATATTATATACATCTTATATACAATAATATATATTATATACATATTAAAACACCTTATATACATCTTATGTACATCTTATATAATACAAAAATATATATTATATACATTTTAAAACATCTTATATACATCTTATGTACATCTTATATAATATACATTATATATTATATATATCTTATATACAATAATATATATTATATACATATTAAAACACCTTATATACATTTTATGTACATCTTATATGTTATATATTATATATTATATTATATACATCTTATATACATTAATATATACACATCTTATATAATATACATTATATATTATATATATCTTATATACAATAATATATATTATATACATATTAAAACACCTTATATACATTTTATGTACATCTTATATGTTATATATTATATATTATATTATATACATCTTATATACATTAATATATACACATCTTATATAATATACATTATATATTATATATATCTTATATACAATAATATATATTATATACATATTAAAACACCTTATATACATTTTATGTACATCTTATATGTTATACATTATATATTATATTATATTAATCTTACATTAATATATACACATCTTATATAATATACATTATATATTATATACATCTTATATACAATAATATATATTATATATATATTAAAACATCTTATATACATCTTATGTACATCTTATATAATAAACATTATACATCTTATGTACATCTTATATACATTAATATATATACATCTTATATATTATATATTATATTATATACATCTTATATACAATAATATATATACATATTAAAACACCTTATATACATCTTATGTACATCTTATATAACATACATTATATATTATATTATATATATCATATACATTAATATATATATACATATTAAAACATCTTATATACATCTTATATATGGATATATATGTGTGTATGTATATATTCCAATTTATTCTCTATGCATATATCTCTTTAATATTATCTCAAACTCCTTAAACACCTATTATTAATATTCAATTAATATTAATATGCTTATATTAATATATCTCATGATATATGTGTGTGTTTTGTGTATTCCAATTCATTCTCTCTGCATATATTCTTAGTATCTTAAGCGCCTTAAGTCCTTATTAATATTCATGTTCTATTCATATTAATATGCTCATATTAATATATCTTATGGATATATATGTGCCTATGTATGTATATTCCAATTCATTCTCGATGCATATATCTGTTTAGTATTATCTCAAACTCCTTAAACACCTATTATTGATATCAAATAATATTAATATGCTTATATTAATATATCTTATGGATATATATGTGCGTATGTATGCATATTCCAATTTATTCTTAATGCAAATATCTGTTTAGTATTATCTAAAACCCCTTAAACACCTATTATTGATATCCAAATAATATTAATATGCTTATATTAATGTATCTTATGGATATATATGTATGTATGTATGCATATTCCAATTTATTCTCAATGCATATATCTGTTTAGTATTATCCTTAAACACCTATTATTAATATTCAATTAATATTAATATGCTCATATTAATATATCTTATGGATATATTATATATATGTGTGTATGTATGTATATTCTTGTTTATTCTCTATGCATGTATCTTTAGTATTATCTTAAACTTCTTAAGCACCAATTAATATCTACATATTATTATTATTATTATTATTATTATTAATAATAATAATAATAATAATACTTTATTTATACCCCATACATATTACATATGTATGGGCTTACATATTAATATATCTTATGAATATGTGTGTATATGTATGTGTATATGTGTATTTCAATTCATTCCCTATGCATATATCTTTTTCGTATTATCTTAAACTTGTTAAGCACCAATTAATATCCACATATTAATATATCTTATGGATGTGTGTGTGTATATTTATATACCAATTCATTCCCTATGCATATATCTTTTTAGTATTATCTTAAACTTCTTAAGTAACAATTAATATCCACATATTTATATATCTTTTGGATATGTGTGTGTATGTATATATTCCAATTCATTCCCTATGCATATATATATATTTATTTAGTCTTATCTTATACTCCTTAAGGCAAGGTGAGGCAAATGAAGCAGAGAGTGTTTGAGGACTGGGACATCCGTAGGGATACCAAGGTGCTTGTTTATAAAGCTATTGTCCTCCCAACCTTGATATACGCCTGCGAAACGTGGACTGTCTACAGACATCACATGCAACTCCTGGAACGATTCCATCAGCACTGCCTCCAGAAAATCCTGCAAATCTCTTGGGAAGACAGGCGGACAAACATCAGCGTGCTGGAAGAAGCAAAGACCACCAGCATTGAAGCGATGCTCCTCCACCATCAACTCTGCTGGACTGGACACGTTGTCCAGATGCTTGACCACCGTCTCCCAAAGCAGTTGCTCTACTCCGAACTCACGAACGGAAAACAGAATGTTGGTGGACAGGAAAAGAGATTGAAAGACGGGCTCAAAGCCAACCTTAAAAACTCTGGTATAGACACTGAGAACTGGGAAGCCCTGGCCTTTGAGTGCCCCAGCTGGAGGTCAGCTGTGACCAGCAGTGCTGCAGAATTTGAAGAGGCACGAATGGAGGGTGAAAGAGAGAAACATGCCAAGAGGAAGGCGCATCAAGCCAACCCCGACCGGGACCGCCTTCCACCTGGAAACCGATGCCCTCACTGCAGAAGAAGATGCAGATCAAGAATTGGGKTCCATAGTCACCTATGGACRCACCCTGGAGGATTATCCTARTCAGACAACYAYGGATCYCKTAAGTAAGTAAGTAGRAAGTGAGTAAGTAAGTAAGTAAGGCGGTTCTTYTCTKCCATTTCTGGCTGGCCAAGGAGCACTGGGCTTGTCCATGGAACTCCGTGTTTGGAGGACAAACTGGCCATTTCGTGATCCAAAAAAGTCTCGGGTTCCATGTTGTCGCAAAGGCCACCGAGCCGGTGGAGGAGGCTCTCCAATCTCTGGTCCAAAACACTCCCTTGAAGTAAATATTCCATCATGTTTATGGTCCTGCCAGTGACTGGCATCATGGTGACTGGAGGAGCCTCCAAAAAAGGACACCTTTGCAGCTAACACCTCCCAACAAAGGACTCCACCAGGCAGGAAGCAGCCAGACTTTGAAGTTGCAAGGCCATTCAGTACCAGTCAAGGTGGTCTTTGCAACATTCACACCTGTGTCAAACAAACAAGAGTTCTTTCTCCCACCCTGGACATTATTCCACAGATATATAAATTTCACTTGCGTAGTTTCCAACCGACCACACAACCTCTGAGGATGCCTGCCATAGATATGGGTGAAACGTCAGGAGAGAATGCTTCTGGAACATGGCCAGCCAGCCCGGAACACTCACAGAAACCTAGTGATTCCAGCCATGAAAGCCTTCAACAACAACAACAACAACAACAACAACAACAACAACATAATAATAATAATAATAATAATAATAATAATAATAATAATAATTTGAAACACAACAAGATGAGTCCACAGCAAACAAGATCACTCTGCTGACTGTTGTATTGGATCACACGTCGGACACTTCCCAAGTGTCTAGGAATGTGTGCAGATCCCAGTAAGGTGGCCTTTTGCAGCTGGTAGATGGTAATTTTGTCAGCACCTATTGTTTTTAAGTGCAGGCCAAGGTCTTTAGGCACTGCACCCAGTGTGCTGATCACCATTGGAACCTCCCTGACTGACTTGTGCCAGAGTCTTTGCAGTTCTATTATTATTATTATTATTATTATTATTATTATTATTATTATTATTATTATATTTCTTACCCTCCTCTCCTTGTGGTGGGTTACAGAATAATTAAAACACATAAACATTATAGAAGGCTGGATGGCCATCTGTCGAGGGTGCTTTGAATGCGATTTTCCTGCTTCTTGGCAGAATGGGGTTGGACTGGATAGCCCATGTGGTCTCTTCCAACTCTATTCTACGATTCTAGAAATACCACAAATACACATAATGTGTGTGTATATATGTATACATATGTGTGCGCATGTGTGTGTGTGTGTACACACACACATACTTTGACTTTATATAGAGATTTCAGAGGAAGGAACTGGTAAAACCACCTCTGAATATTCCTTGCTTAACTTAAGAAATTCATGGGGTTACCATAGGTCAACAAGCAACTTGATGGCACATTATGGTGAGAATTGGATAAATGATAATAATAATAATAATAATAATAATAATAATAATAATAATAATTATTATTATATTATTATATGAATCAGTGGGTTAAACCGCTGAGCTGCTGAGCTTGCTGACCAAAAGGTCACAGGTTCAAATAATAATAATAATAATAATAATAATAATAATAATAATAATAAATTATAATAATATAGAATCAGTGGGTTAAACCGCTGAGCTGCTGAGCTTGCTGACCAAAAGGTCACAGGTTCAAATAATAATAATAATAATAATAATAATAATAATAATAAATTATAATAATATAGAATCAGTGGGTTAAACCGCTGAGCTGCTGAGCTTGCTGACCAAAAGGTCACAGGTTCAAATAATAATAATAATAATAATAATAATAATAATAATAATAAATTATAATAATATAGAATCAGTGGGTTAAACCGCTGAGCTGCTGAGCTTGCTGACCAAAAGGTCTTATAATAATATAGAATCAGTGGGTTAAACCGCTGAGCTGCTGAGCTTGCTGACCAAAAGGTCACAGGTTCAAATAATAATAATAATAATAATAATATTTAATAATAATATAGAATCAGTGGGTTAAACCACTGAGCTGCTGAGCTTGTTGACTGAAAGGTTGCAGGTTTGAATTCGGGGAGCGGCATGAGCTTCTGCTGTCAGCCGCAGCTTCTGCCAACCTAGCAGTTCGAAACCATGCAAGTGTGAGTAGATCAATAGGTACCGCTCTGGCGGGAAATTAACGGCACTCGATGCAGTCATGCCGGCCACATGACCTTGGAGGAGTCTATAGACAACGCTGGCTCTTCAGCTTAGAAATGGAGATGAGCACCAATCCCCAGAGTCGGACACGACTGGACTTAAGGTCAAAGGGAAACCTTTACCTTTACCTAGTGTGTTACTTTTGCTTATTCCAGAATGGGAACTAACTATAACTACTTGGTGTTAATTTGAACCGTGAGGGTAAGTAAGGGTTTGCTTCGTAAACTCAACTTTTAAAAACTTTGGCATAAGGCTGTTATCAGCGGCAGGAATCTACTGCAATCAAAGTGGAAGAGGGCATCTTTCGTAAGGATCTGTACCGGTCAGAAATCTACACATTTTTGTTTCCGACTGACCGGTCCGGCTAAAGCTGTCTAGCCGGTAGAATTGGTTCTTATGACAGCTCCGGAAATGGCCGAGGATCTCTTGCAAAAGCATTCCAAACTTGAGCCCCTTTTGCAATCAAATGGGTCAATGTAGAGGTGCATCTAGATCAGGTGTGGACAAATTTGGGCCCTCGAGGTGTTTTGGACTCCAACTCCCACCATTCCTAACAGCCTCAGGCCCTTTCCTTTTCGCCCTCAGCCGCTTAAAAAAGGAAGGGGCCTGAGGCTGTTAGGAATGGTGGGAGTTGGAGTCCAAAACACCTCGAGGGCCCAAATTCGTCCTAACCTAACCTAACCTAGACAATAGTCCCACCGTATTTTTGCATGATCATTTTCCACACCTTTTGCAGGTTTATGATCCCAACAATTCTTGATTCCTGGCAGGTGGTCCTTGTGACATAAGTTCCAGTGAATCATTTGGGCCACAGAGTTGTGCCTCTGTTTGTAGTCCGTCTGTGTGATTTTCTTGCAACAGCTGAGGATATGGTCCATGGTTTCATCAGCTTCCTTGCACAGTCTGCATTTTGGGTCAATCCTGGCCTTAATTGCATTGGTTCTGATGGCTTGCTCCTGGGCTGCAACAACCAGGCCTTCTTCTGTCTCCTTATTCAGGGTTCTATTCATGAGGTCTTCTCCTTGTCAACTTTTCCTTTAATCTTCTCAAGGAACTGCCCATGTAAGGCTTTGTTGTGCCAGCTGTCAGCTCTGGTTTGGAATGCAGTTTTCTTGTACTGACTCTTTGTCTGCTGTGCTTTGAGAAGTTTCCAATTATTGACTTCAATTAAAGCAGGTTCTTGTCTTTCCTTGACATATTCTGCCAGGGTATCTTGTTTTTCTTATTCGACTGCTTGTTTGACTTGTAAAAGTCCACTGCCCCCCATTGTTATTATTATTATTATTATTATTATTAGAAACACAACAAGATGAGTCCACGGCAAACACTCCTCTGGCTGTTGTATTGGATCACACGTCAGACACTTCCCAAGTGTCTAGGACACTTATTATTATTATTATTATTATTATTATTATTATTTGAAACACAACAAGATGAGTCCACAGCAGACACTCTGCTGGCTGTTGTATTGGATGGAGCCTATCATGTAATGGTCTATAATAATAATAATAATAATAATAATAATAATAATAATAATAATAATAATAATAAATAGAAGCACAACAAGATGAATCCACAGCAGACACTCTGCTGGCTGTTGTATTGGATCACACGTCGGACACTTCCCAAGCGTCTAGGACTGTGTGATGTATCGGCTAATAATGCGTGCAGATCCCAGTAAGGTGCCCTTTTGCAGCTGACGGATGGTAATTTTGTCAGAGCCGATTGTGTTTAAGTGCAGGCCAAGGTCTTTAGGCACTGCACCCAGTGTGCCGATCACCACGGGGACCACCTTGACTGGCTTGTGCCAGAGTCTTTGCAGTTCAATTTTTAAATCCTCATATCGTGTCAGCTTTTCCAGTTGTTTCTCTTCAATCCTGCTGTCGCTGGGATTGCAACATCAATAATCCATACTTTGTTTTTAACACAATCGTGAGGTCCGGAGTGTTGTGCTCCAAAGCTCGATCTGTCTGAATTCGGAAGTCCCAGAGTAGCTTGACGTGTCCGTTTTCTGTAACTTTTTCCGGCTTGTGATCCCACCAGTTCTTTTGTCACAGGCAGATGGTGTTTGTGGCACAAGTTCCAATGAATCATCTGAGCAATGGTGTTGTGCCTCTGCTTCTAGCCTGTTTGCGCAATCTTCCTGCAGCAGCTGAGGATGGGATCTGTTGTTTCATCTGCTTCCTTACAGAGTCTATACTTGGTATCTGTCATCAACTTTTCAATTCTGGCTTGGATGGCCTTGGTACGAATGGCTTGTTATTTATTTATTTTATATTTCAAACTTATATGCCGCCACTTTCCTAGGACTCAGAGCGTCTTACATGAACAAACTAAAAACTAACACAAATTAAACAACATATCAAAGATCAAAAGCCTGTCGAAACAAATATGTCTTACAAGTCCTGCGGAAAGCTGAGCAACGGCGTTGTGCCTCTGCTTGGAGTCTGTCTGCGCGATCTTCTTGCAGCAGCTCAGGAAGTGATCTGTTGTTTCATCTGCTTCCTTGCAGAGTCTACACTTGGGATCTGTTGTCGACTTTTCACTTCTGGCTTTGATGGCATTGGTTCGAAAGGTCTCTTCCAACTCTTTGATTCTATGCTTCTATGAGACTCGATGAGATGTATAGCAAAATGTGCCCCTTCTGCAAAAACAAAGTTTGTGCAGTTTAATCAACTTTTCTCCTGTGTTTATGATAGAACCAATTAGGAAATTACATTGATAACCCAGGAACAAAAATGATGTGACCTAGTGCAATGCCCATGAGTTCTTGAGTCCTTCTACCTGTGACTCAAGGCAGGTACGTGGTTCCCAGCAATGCTACCCGGCGGCTATCCTTTGCACGCCCCACTGGCAATTTGGTCCCCAGCTGCAAGGAAGACAAACTGGTTGAGCCGGTGGTGCCTTTGGGGACGGCATGAAGGCGCAGCTCTCCAAAAGAGACGAGTGACAAGAGGTCCACAGCAGAGGAGAGGCAGAGAAGAGGGCGGACTGGGGTTCCTACTAATGGGGAGCGCAGGGAGCAGAGATGACTTTGAGTGGGTCTACACCGACCAGCCCCACACTCAGCGAAGGAAGGAGATCCTGGGTGAGTTCTGCAACAGCTTCCCTTCTCTTAAGGGCTCCCTGGTTCCATCTACACTGTTGAATTAATGCAGTTTGACACCACTTTCATATGACATCGCTCGGTGCTCTGGAAAGCCCTGCAATGGAGTTGCCATAAGTCGGAAATGACACGCAAGCTTGATATATATACTACCATATAATGCAGTTTGGACTGCATTATGTGGTCAGTGCAGACCCATCCAATGCAGTTCAATGTAGCTCAGACTTGTTATTACTGTGGCTGGTTCTACTATATACTGAAAAGAAAAAAATGAGTTCTGGATGACCCTCCAATTGAGTTGCCATAAGTCAGAAATGACACATAAGCTGTATCACAATATATACTGATATATATATTGATATACTGCCATATTATGCAGCCAAACTGGATTATATGGTCAATGCAGACCCATACAATGCAGCTCAATGTAGTTCAGACTTGTTGATGCTGTGGCTGGATCTAGATCAATGTTTCTCAACCTGGGGGTCGGGACCCCTGGGGAAGGGTCGCGAGGGGATGTCGGGGGGGGGGGGCACAAGACCATCAGAAAACACAGTATATTCTGTTGATCATGAGGGTTCTGTGTGGGAAGTTTGGCCCAATTATATCATTCGTGGAGTTCAGAATGCTCTTTGATTCTGGGCAAACTATAAATACCAGAAACTACCCAAATCTCAAGGTCTATTTTCCCCAAACTCCACCACTGTTCACATTTGGGCATATGGAATATTCGTGCCAAGTTTGGTCCAGATCATCCACCATTGTTTGAGTCCACAGTGTTCTCTGGATGTAGGTGAACTACAACTCCCAAACTCAAGGTCAATGCCAACCAAACCCTTCCAGTATTTTCTGTTGGTCATGGGAATTCTGTGTGCCAAGTTTGGTTCAATTCCATCACTGGTGGAGTTCAGAATGCTCTTTGATTGTAGGTGAACTATAAATCCCAGCAACTACAACTCCCAAATGACAAAATCATTTTTTTGAGTGAAGGACATACATTGGGTTGTTAGGTGTCTTGTGTCCAAATTTGGTGCCAATTCATCCAGTGGTTTTTGAGTTCTGTTAATCCCACAAACGAACATTACATTTTTATTTATATAGATTATTATTATTATTATTATTATTATTATTATTATTATTATTATTGTTATTTATACCCCTCTTTACGTCTCCCAAAGGAGACTCAATACTGCCATATAGTGCAGTTTGAACTGCATTATATGGTCAGTGCAGACCCATATAATGTAGTTCAATGTAGTTCAGACTTGTTATTACGGTGGCTGTATGTACACTGCCATATAATGCAGTTCAAACTGCATTATATGGTCAACGCAGACCCATATCGTGCAGATCAATGTACTCCAGACTTCTTGTTGTTGTGGCTGGATCATCATCATCATCATTTGAAACACAACAAGATGAGTCCACAGCAGACACTTTGCTGGCTGTTGAATTGGATCACACGTCGGACACTTCCCAAGTATTTAGGACCGTGTGATGTATAGGTGAATAATGCATGCAGATCCCAGTAGGGTGGCCTTTTGCAGCTGGCACATGGTAATTATTTCATTGCTGATTGTTTTTAAGTGCAGGCCAAGGTCTTTAGGCACTGCACTCAGTATACCATTATTGTTATTGTTGTTGTTGTTGTTATTATTATTATTATTACTATTTGAAACACAACAAGATTAGTACACAGCAAACAAGACCACTCTGCTGGCTGTTGAATTGGATCACAGGTCAGACACTTCCCAAGTATTTAGGACTGTGTGATGTATCGGCAAATAATGCGTGCAGATCCCAGTAGGGTGGCCTTTTGCACCTGGCAGATGGTAATTTTGTCAGCGCCGATTGTTTTTAAGTCCAGGCCAAGGTCTTTAGCCACTGCACCCAGTGTATTATTATTACTATTATTATTATTATTATTATTATTATTATTATTATTATTATTATTATTATTATTTTACGGACACAAAAGCACAGTATGTTACAGCAAACGAGATCTATATACTGGATTTCGTATTTATGATACGAAATCAGCATATAGATCTCATTTGCTCTAACATACTGTGCTTTTGTGTCAGTGAAATAATAATAATAATAATTTGTTGTTGTTATTAGTAATTATTATTATAATATAATAATAATAATAATTGTGATTTTGTGATACAAAATCCAGCATATAGATCTCGTTTGCTGTAACATACTGTGCTTTTGTGTCAGTAAAATAATAATAATAATAGTTGTTGTTATTATTATTATATTATATATTATAATATATAATTATTATTATTATTATTGTGATTTTGTGATACGAAATCCAGCATATAGATCTCATTTGCTCTAACATACTGTGCTTTTGTGTCAGTAAAATAATAATAGTTGTTGTTGTTATTATTATTATTATTATATTATAATATATAATAATAATAATTATTATTATTGTGATTTTGTGATACGAAATCCAGCATATAGATCTCGTTTGCTGTGAAATACTGTGCTTTTGTGTCAGTAAAATAATAATAATGTTGTTGTTGTTGTTGTTATATTATTATAATAATATATTCTATAATAATAATAATAATTGTGATTTTGTGATACGAAATCCAGCATATAGATCTCGTTTGCTGTAACATACTGTGCTTTTGTGTCAGTAAAATAATAATAATAATAATTGTGATTTTGTGATACGAAATCCAGCATATAGATCTCGTTTGCTGTGACATACTGTGCTTTTGTGTCAGTAAAATAATAATAATAGTTGTTGTTGTTGTTGTTATATTATTATAATAATATATTCTATAATAATAATAATAATTGTGATTTTGTGATACGAAATCCAGCATATAGATCTCGTTTGCTGTAACATACTGTGCTTTTGTGTCAGTAAAATAATAATAATAATAGTTGTTGTTGTTATTATTATTATATTATATATTATATAATTATTATTATTATTATTGTGATTTTGTGATACGAAATCCAGCATATAGATCTCGTTTGCTGTGAAATACTGTGCTTCTGTGTCAGTAAAATAATAATAATAATCTCAGTTCTTGTGGGTTTTTTCGGGCTATATGGCCATGTTCTAGAGGCATTTCAATGTCAGGGCTCAATGCTAAGGAGTCCTGGGAGTCCTTAGCATTACCTGTCTCCCCTGCCAGGTAAGTATGCAAGCAAATCCAATCCATAATAATAATAATAATAATAATAATAATAATAATAATATAATATAATATAATATAATATAATATAATATAATATAATATAATGATTTTGTGATCAGAAATCCAGCATATAGATTCTCGTTTGCTGTGACATACTGTGTTTTTGTGTCAGAATAATAATAATAATAATAGTTGTTGTTATTATTATTATTATTATTATTATTATTATTATTATTATGGATTGGATTTGCTTGCATACTTACCTGGCAGGGGAGACAGGTAATGCTAAGGACTCCCAGGACTCCTTAGCATTGAGCCCTGACATTTAAAGTGACGTGAAACTGCATTCATTCCCCTGTGTAGACAACACCGATGAGCGAAAGTGGAGCAACCAGGAAACAGAGGCCCATTTTGTGCAGTTTTTCCTCCTCCCAAGGCAGAAATGCAAAGTTGCTGGGCAGCATCCCTGCCTCCCGGCCATTCTGCAAAACTGCAGATTCCCCAGGCTTTTTCTGACCTTTCCTTTGCATGAGCATGGGTTCACCCCACCATGCCTGGGCCTTGGAGACATAAGGAGAAATGCAAATGCCGATGTTCTTGCTGAAGATATCTCTGTTAGGAAATAGACCACACAGATATGGAAAGTAGCTCTCGCTGCCAAACCGCGATGTTCCCAATCACAAAGCAATTAAGCCATTAGGCTTGGAAGACATCAAATGCTGACATGCGGCACGCACCGCTTTCAGGAACGGCCCAGGATAACAAATAGATATACACACCCTCCAACGCCCAAAACTATCTTCCAGGAACGGAACAGGAAAGACGAGAACAATGAGCAATGGGCTCAAATGGCAGGAAAAGAGATTCCACCTAAACTTTAGGACGAGCGTTCATGTATTTATTTATTTATTTGCGACATTTATATGCCACCCTTCTCACCCCGAAGGGGACTCAGAGTGGCTTACAAGTAATATGTAATTGTTGTTGTTCATTCGTTCAGTCGCTTCCGACTCTTCGTGACCTCATGGACCAGCCCACGCCAGAGCTCCCTGTCGGCCGTCACCACCCCCAGCTCCTTCAAGGTCAGTCCAGTCACTTCAAGGATGCCATCCATCCATCTTGCCCTTGGTCGGCCCCTCTTTCTTTTGCCTTCCACTTTCCCCAGCATAATTGTCTTCTCTAGGCTTTGCTGTCTCCTCATGATGTGATTTACATGATGTGTATTTACATGATTTGCATGATGTGTATTTACATGATATATGTAAATACAATATATTAAATTATTAGCATAGTACTGAAAAGGTCTTTGAGTGAAATTTGCAAATGCTAAGCAAGGGGCTTTGAATGAAATTAACAGCAAAAGAGAAACATACCCTTTCTCTCTAGAAAAAGAGCAACACGGAAGAAAATGTTTTTAAGAAACAAGAAGTGACATGTAGAGGTTGGAAGTTGTATTGCGGTTAAGTTCAAAGGTTGTGGTTAAGCGCAGAGTCTGCAGGTACAAGAAGGTACTTTCCATCAAAAGGTCAAGGGAGGGGGCTGGAAAGAGAGTACTTTCCATGACAAAAAAAAATGTTCTTGTTTACTTGAGGTTATATATCGGTGGTCAAAAAGCCAAGGGGATGCGGCAGTCACTTGAAGGGTAGCATCTGCGTATGCTGCCAGGCTGTCTGTCTTCTTCATGAAGAAACTAAAATAAACCTTGTTTTTTAAATCTTTTTTGGGGGGGCTGTCTCCTTCCTTTTGTGCTCCCGTGATATGGACCTAAGAAGACCAATTTAGGGTCTCTAACAGTACAATATCAGCATTGAGTTGCCATGCAGCTGTAAAGTCAACCAGAAAGGGTATCTGCATAGAAGGAGCCTGGCTGTTGTTGCCTGGGGGCACCCTCTTCTAGGGAGGTGTTAACTGGACCCTGATTGTTTGCGGTCCAGAGTTCCTCTCTTTCTGAGAGGCATACACTGTTTACTGTGAGTAAGCTTGATTAGCATTGAGTAGCCTTGCAGCTGCAAAGTCAACCCGTGAGGGTATCTGCATAGAGAATAGACTCTATTCAAATACATTGCACATCAACCGTCAACCTCATGTGCTCCATTGAGATAATTGTACAATAGCAGTGTAATATGATAGGTTCCAGACTCTGTTCAAATACATTGCACACCAACCACCAACCTCCTGTGCTCTATTGAGCTAATTGTGCAATATTCAAATTCAATACATTGCACATCAACCGTCAACCTCATGTGCTCCAATGGGATAATAGCGCAATAAGAGTGTAATGTGATTGGGTCCAGACTCTGTTCAAATACATTACACATCAACCATCAACCTCATGTGCTCCACTGGTATAATAACGCAATAGCAGTGCACTATGACCGAGTCCAGACGCTGTTCAAATACATTGCACACCAACCACCAACCTCAGTGCTCCATTGGGATAATTGTGCAATAGCAGTGTAATATGATAGGTTCCAGACTCTGTTCAAATACATTGCACATCAACCGTCAACCGTATGTGCTCCATTGAGATAATATCGCAATAGCAGGGTAATGTGATAGGATCCAGACTCTATTCAAATACATTGCACACCAACTACCAACCTCATGTGCTCCATTGAGATAATTGTACAATAGCAATGTAATATGTTAGGTTCCAGACTCTATTCAAATACATTGCACATCAACCGTCAACCTCATGTGCTCCAAAGGGATAACAGTGCAATAGCACAGTAATGTGAGAGGGTCCAGACTCTATTCAAATACATTTTACATCAGCCCTCAACCTCATGTGCTCCATTGAGATAATTGCGCTATAGCAGTGTAATGTGATAGGGTCCAGACTATATTCAAACACATTGCACATTAACTGTCAATCTTACGTGCTCCACTGGGATAAAATCGCAATAGCAGGGTAATGTGCTAGGGTCCAGACTCTATTCAAATACATTGCATATCAACAGTGAACCTCATGTGCTCCACTAACTGACCTCTCTTGGCTTCCTCCTTAGCCAAATACCCTGAGATCAAGAAGCTGATGGGCCCTGATCCACGCCTGAAGTGGGTGGTGACCCTGATGGTGCTGTCCCAGATGGTGGCCTCCTACCTGGTGAAGGACCTGCCATGGAAGTGGGTCTTCTTCTGCGCGTATGCATTCGGGGGATGCGTCAACCACTCCATGACCTTAGCCATCCACGACATCTCCCACAACGTGGCGTTCGGCCACCGCACAACCCGCTGGAACCGCTTCTTCGGCATGTTCGCCAACCTGCCCATAGGCGTGCCTTATGCCACATCCTTCAAGAAGTACCACGTCGACCACCACCGTTTCCTAGCCGGGGACGGGCTGGACGTGGATGTGCCCACCTCCTTCGAAGGGCGCTTCTTCCACTCACCCGGCCGCAAGCTGCTGTGGCTCGTGCTGCAGCCGGCCTTCTACGTTGTGCGGCCGCTTTGCGTCAACCCCAAGCCCTTCTCCACCATGGAGGTCCTCAACATCGGCGTCCAGCTGGCCTATGACCTCCTAGTCTACTGGCTCTGTGGGGCCAAGGCCGTGGTCTACATGGTGGCCGGCTCCATCCTGGCCATGGGGCTGCATCCCCTCTCAGGGCACTTCATCGCCGAGCACTACATGTACGCCCAGGGCTACGACACCGCCTCCTACTACGGGCCGCTGAACTGGATCACCTTCAACGTGGGCTACCACATGGAGCACCACGACTTCCCCAGCATTCCCGGGAGCAGGTTGCCACAGGTCAGTATTGGTCCCATTAATTACCCAGACCTGTTACACTATGTGACATAATGTGAAACATTTGTTACTCATTCAAAAGTGTTATTTCCTGTTTAATTGTGCGGTCCTTACTTTGAAAGGCGTTGTTCTTCTGCAGAAACTTCATTTTCGAGCCAGAAACTATGCTGAATTGCTTGAGACTCTAGATGAGATATTCCTTGCAAAACGATCGCAAAATATGCTGCAGGATGTCCTTCTTGCAAAAACATAATTTATTCCTTGCAAGGGTTGTTGTAGGTTTTTTCGGGCTGTATGGCCATGGTCTAGAGGCATTCTCTCCTGACGTTTTGCCTGTATCTATGGCAAGCATCCTCAGAGGTAGTGAGGTCTGTTGGAACTAGGGAAAAGGGTTTATATATCTGTGGAATGACCAGGGTGGGACAAAGGACTCTTGTCCAGGCACTGTCAGGCCATTATATGGTAATCAAGGTGGTCAGCTGAAACATTCACACCTAGCTCCAGCGGACAAGAGTGTCTGATGTTGTGTTTCTAATAATAATAATAATAATAATGATGATGATAATAATAATAATAATAATAATAATAATAATAATAATAATAATAATAATAATAACAATAATGCAAGCACATCCAATCCATTATTATTATTAGAAACACAACAAGGTGAGTCCACAGCAGACACTGCTGGCTGTTGTATTGGGTCACATGTCGGACACTTCCCAAGTATCTAGGACTGTGTGATGTATCGGCGAATAATGCGTGCAGATCCCAGTAAGGTTGCCTTCTGCAGATGGTAACCTTGTCAGTGCCAATTGTGTTTAAGTGAGGGCCAAGGCCTTTAGGCACTGCATCCAGTGTGCCAATCACCACTGGGACCCCCTTGACTGGTTTGTGCCAGAGTCTCTGCAGTTCGATTTTTAAATCCTCGTAGTGTGTCAGCTTTTCCAGATGTTTCTCTGCAATTCTGCTGTCACCTGGGATTGCAACATCCATACTTGGTTTTTTAACACAATTGTGAGGTCAGGAGTTATGTGATCCAAAACTCTGTCTGTCTGAATCCGGAATTCCCAGAGGAGTTTGGCGTGTTCATTCTCTGTAACTCTTTCCCACCAGTTCTTTGTCGCAGGCAGATGGGATTTGTGGCACAGGTTCCAATAAATCATCTGAGCAACGGTGTTGTGCCTCTGCTTGTAGTCTGTCTGTGCGATCTTCTTGCATCAGCTGAGGATGTGATCGATGGTTTCATCTGCTTCCTTGCAGAGCCAACATTTGGGATCTGTTGTTGACTTTTGAATCCTGGCTTTGATGGCATTATTATTATTATTATTATTATTATTATTATTATTATTGCTATAGTGAATATCTTCCAGAAACCATAATTTTCCTACGTCTTGTCTCCCTTTTCCAGGTGAAGAAAATCGCCCCCGAATATTACGAGAACCTCCCCTTCCACAACTCGTGGGTCCGGGTCCTTTGGGACTTTGTCTTCCAGGAGGAGCTGGGCCCTTTTGCCCGGGTGAAGCGGAAATACAAAGCCTTATGAGGCCAGGGGATGGCAATAAAGGATGGAAACGTTGCCAGTTGCAGCTTTATTTCAATGGACTTAAACAGAAAGGACGAGTCAGAGGGACCGAAGGTTGTTTTGACAAAGGGATGGCCTGATGTCAATGTGTATTCTGAGTTTCTTATAGGGTACGTCTACATACAGGTCTTGGGGACGAATCATCATCATCATCATCATCATGATAGTTTCTTGCATTGAGGATGCCTCTTTGGAGAGGGATGCAGGTCTTGGAGACTAATAATAATAATAATAATAATAATAATAATACGAAATCCAGCATTTATATCTCATTTGCTGTGACATACTGTGTTTTTGTGTCAGTAAAATAATAATAATAATAGCAATAATTTGTTGTTGTTCATTTGTTCAGTCACTTCTGACTCTTTGTGACCTCCTGGATCAGCCCAGGCCAGAGCTCCCTGTCGGCCGTCACCACCCCCAGCTCCTTCAGAGTCAAGACAGTCACTTCAAGGATGCCATCCATCCATCTTGCCCTTGGTCGACCCTTCTTCCTTTTTCCTTCCATTTTCCCCAGCATCATTGTCTTCTCCAAGCTTTCCTGTCTTCTCATGATGTGGTCAAAGTCCTTCATCTTGGCCTCTACTACCCTTTCCTCCAATGAGCATTATTTCCTGGAGGATGGACTGCTTGGATCTTCTTACGGTCCAAGGCACTCTCAGCACTTTCCTCCAACACCACAGTTCAAAAGCATCTCTCTTCCTTCGCTCAGCCTTCCCGAAGGTCCAGCTCTCACATCCGTAGCTGACTATGACGAATACCATTGCTTTAACTATGCGGATCTTCGTTGCCAGTGTGATGTCTCTACTCTTCACTATTTTATCGAGATTGGTCATTGCTCTCTTCCCAAGAAGTAAGCATCTTCTGATTTCCTGGCTGCAGTCTGCATCTGCAGTCATCTTTGTGCTTAGAAATGCAAAGTCTGCCACTGCCTCCTTGTTTTCTCCCTCTATTTGCCAGTTGTCAATCAGTCTGGTTGCCAGAATCTGATGTTTCATTGCAACCCAGATTTTGCCCTTTCTCCTTTCCCCTTGGTTGGAAGGCTCCCCAGCTCCTCCTCGCTTTCAGGCATCAGAGTGGTATCATCTGCATATTTAAGGTTGTGAATGTTTCTTCCAGCTATTTTGACTCCGGTCTTGCATTCATCAAGCCCTACACATCGCATGATGTGCTTTGAATACAAGCTGAATAGGTTGGGTGAGAGGATACAACCCTGCCATACGCCTTTCCCAATTCTGAACCAGTCTGTTGTTCCCTGGTCAGTTCTTACTGTTGCTACTTGGTCGTGATACAGATTCCTCAGGAGACAGGCAAGGTGACTTGCTATCCCCATACATACTGATAGGGCAATAATCATGACTCTAGAGAAATCAAAGTTTAAAATGTACCCCTCTGTATTTAAAAATTAACTTCCACTAAGGGTTTGTCTTGTCTGGAACATTTGTGGTTAGCACCTAAAAAACATGTGCAATCAACAAATTTCACAGGACAGTTCAGGTAGAAGGTTAAAAAAAACTGACAATGTGTCTATTGCCACATATGGGGGGAAAGAACTATTTGGGTCTTGTACTTTCTATTGTCAAGAAATCATGTTGTTTACAAGAAGTCAGTTGGTCAATGTGCTAAATAAGGAATTAAGCCTAGGTGGTAGTTTGTAATTGGATAACTTTTGTTGCAGTGCCAAAGAGTCTAGTCTATATAATGTGAGTCTGAAGAGACACTGGGTGCGGCAGCCTCTTGAAAGTACCAAGACCTGCATGTTTGGTATGGCTGGCCCATCTCATCATGATCATGACGAAAATAAACCTTGCTCTTGTACTTCTCCTGAGACTGGGTGTTTGTCTTTCTGCCTCCTGCGACCGGGCCCAATGCAGGGACCCTGAACTCGGGGTCCCTAACAATACCACCAAGGACTTCCCACCATTTATTACGATCCACACTATCAAACGCTTTGGAATAGTCAATAAAACAGAAATAGATGCTTTTCTGAATAATAGCAATCTGTATAAATAAAAATGTAATGTTCGTTTGTGGGATTAACAGAACTCAAAAACCACTGGGCGAATTGACACCAAATTTGGACACAATACACCTATCAGGCCAACGAGTGACCATCACTCATAAAAACACTGGAAAACACAGCAGAAGAGACTTAAAAAGCAAAAAAAATATTACAATGCATGCACAGAACCACACATATATATGCAAGCACACATATGCACAAATATACACACTATGTTAGAGACCCTAAATTGGGTCTTTTTAGGTCCACGTCGCGGGAGCATGAAAGGAAGGAGACAGTCCCAAAAAAGATCAAAAAACAAGGTTTATTTTAGTTTCTTCATGAAGAAGACGGACAGCCGGGTAGCATGCACAGATGCTACCCTTCAAGTGACTGCCGTCCCCCTTGGCTTTTGACCACCAAATATATAACCTCAAGTAAACAAGAACATTTTTTTGTCATGGAAAGTACCCTCTTTCCAGCCCCCTCTCTTGACCTTTTGATGGAAAGTACCTTCTTGTACATGCAGACTCTGCACTTCAAAAAAACAACCTTTGAAGTTAACCACAAGTATCCTGTATAAGAAAAGTACCTCTATATGTCACATCTTGTTTCTTCCGTGCTGCTCTTTTTCTACAGAGAAAGGGTATATCTCTCTTTTGCTGTTAATTTGATTCAAAGCCCCTTACTTAGTTTTTGCAAATTTCACTCAAAGACCCTTTCAACACAAAACACATATACACAGACTGGGCCACAGCAGCGCATGGCAGGGTACGGCTAGTAACATATATAATAATATATTAAAGTAATAATCATTGCTATAATATATAAACATTATCTATCTATCTGTAATATTATATATATTATATATGTTGTTGTGTTGTTCATTCGTTCAGTCGTCTCCAACTTGTGACCTCATGGACCAGCCTACGCCAGAGCTCCCTGTCGGCCGTCACCACCCCCAGCTCCTTCAAGGTCAGTCCAGTCACTTCAAGGATGCCATCCATCCATCTTGCCCTTGGTCGGCCCCTCTTCCTTTTGCCTTCCAATTTCCCCAGCATCATTCCCTTCTCTAGGCTTTCCTGTCTCCTCATGATGTGGCCAAAGGACTTCAACTTTGTCTCTAGTCTCCTTCCCTCCAGTGAGCAGTCGGGCTTTATTTCCTGGAGGATGGACTGGTTGGATCTTCTCGCAGTCCAAGGCACTCTCAGAACTTTCCTCCAACACCACAGTTCAAAAGCATCTATCTTCCTTCGCTCAGCCTTCCCTAAGGTCCAGCTCTCACATCCGTAGGTGACTACAGGGAATACCATGGCTTTGACTAGGCGGATCTTTGTTGCCAGTCTGATGTCTCTACTCTTTACTATTTTATCGAGACTGGACATTGCTCTCCTCCCAAGAAGTAAGCGTCTTCTGATTTCCTGGCCACAGTCTGCATCTGCCGTAATCTTTGCCTAGAAATACAAAGTCTGTCACGGCCTCCACATTTTCTCCCTCTATTTTCCAGTTGTCAATCATTCTTGTTGCCATAATCTTGGTTTTTTTTTTTATGTTTAGCTGCAACCCAGCTTTTGCGCTTTCTTCTTTCACCTTGATTAGAAGGCTCCTCAGCTCCTCCTCGCTTTCGGCCATCAGAGTGGTGTCATCTGCATATCTGAGGTTGTTAATGTTTCTTCCAGCAATTTTCACCCCAGCTTTGCATTCATCAAGCCCCGCACATCCTCGCATGATGTGTTCTGCATACAAGTTAATAAGGTTGGGTGAGAGGATGCAGCCTTGCCGTACGCCTTTCCCAATCTTGAACCAGTCTCCTGTTCCGTGGTCAGTTCTGACTGTTGCTCCTTGGTCCTTGTACAGATTCCTCAGGAGAGAGGGAAGGGGGCTTGGGATGCCCATCCCACCAAGAACTTGCCACAATTTATTATGATCCACACAGTCAAAGGCTTTAGAATAGTCAATGAAGCAGAAGTAGATGTTTTTCTGAAACTCCCTGCCTTTCTCCATTATCCAGCGGATATTGGCAATCTGGTCTCTCGTTCCTCTACCTTTTCTAAACCCAGCTTGAACATCTGGCAACTCTCGCTCCATGTATTGCTGGAGTCTTCCTTGCAGGATCTTGAGCATTACCTTCCTGGCATGAGAAATAAGGGCCACTGTACGGAAGTTTGAGCAGTCTTTCGCATTTCCCTTTTTTGGTATGGGGATATAAGTTGATTTTTTCCAGTCTGATGGCCATTCTTGTGTTTTCCATATTTGCTGGCATATGGCATGCATCACCTTGACAGCATCATCTTTTAAGATTTTAAACAGTTCAGCTGAGATCCCATCATCTCCTGCTGCCTTGTTGTTAGCAATGCTTCTCAAAGCCCATTCCACCTCACTCCTCAGGATGTCTGGTTCTAATTCACTCACCACACCGTCAAAACTATCCTCGATATTATTATCCTTCCTATACAGATCTTCTGTATAGTCTCGCCACCTTCTCTTGATCTCTTCAGCTTCTGTTAGGTCCCTGCCATCTTTGTTTCTTATCATACCAATTTTTGCCTATATATAAATATATATAATTGCTATAATAATATATAACCATTATATATATATATATATATATATATATCCCAAAACTACATCACTTTGCAATCCTGCACAAAAGCATCATTATCCTAATCACCATTATTATTGTTAATATTGCTATTTTTCTTCTTTCAGCCTTAATTAGAACATCTTCCTATTCATTCCAATGGATAGCCCTAAGTGAGGGCAGCCTTCCCTGCATGTAACCTTGCCCTCACTTTCCCTGCCTTCAGCCTCCATCTTTTTTTCTACTTCTCGTCATCCCATTGGTCGAGAGAGCCTTTTCCTCGCGTTCTATTGGCCAACGTCCTTGGGGGGCTTCCAATATGATTCGAGAAGAGGGCGGGACTAAGGTGTAAAGAAATGAAGAGATACTGAGGGGAATGTGGAGTTTCTGGAGGGTGCTGATTGGATAGACAAGTATCGGAGGCGGGGCAAATTTTGGCCGGCGCGAGCTGCGGATTGGCTGAGCCTCCTCGCGCCTGTCTGCGGATTGGCTAAGCATTAATGGGGGGGGGAAGCGCGAGGGAGCGAGTGAGG